TGTCACAGAACACACAGAGAAGTTATCTCTACCAGGATCGTACTTGTGAGGATGAATGTAAAATGATAGCTGAGCTCCATTTAGACTCAGTGCTCCATGATGTCTCTCAGAGTCCAAGCCATGGTTATCGATGTGCGTACAGCAGTGAGGGCAGGGGAGAAAGAGACTATTCCAGTGCCCAGGACCCTCAGCTGCAGGTAACCGAGCTCCAAGGCCTTGCTTCAGTGAACCGAGGGTTTATTTGTTCCAAATAGGAGAGCTGCAGCCGACGAGACTTGGACTGGTGTAATGAATCCAGCAGTACAGTGACGGGGAGGTGGGAAATCACGGTTCAGGTCCCTTCCTCTGATGCACCAGTGACAGGTAAATGCCCATGCTGTTGGCTGTTGTGCCCGTGTTCCCTCTGCCTAGCCTGTACCTCGGAAATACTGTGTCTTCTCCCCACAGCAACGCTGACTGAAGCTGCGTTTGCGAGTGAAAAATCTTGAATCGGGACATCGCCAACCAGTTTGATTACAGAGCGTGTAACCACAGACCACACAACTACACACCTCCCAGGCCAGAGATGAAGCAGCGCTGTACAGAGTACTATTGTTTTACAGCTGGCCTTACCTTTTCTCGTGAATATCAATGGGAGTTTTATTCTTGACTTCAAAGAGAGTATGACTGAGCCCAAACATACCATACAGTTGAGCAAGTAAGAAAACAATTTCATCACCAGGTGGACAACTGGTTTGGCCAAACAGACAGCTCACAAACTTCTGTCACACAGAACTGCCGCAGCACAACCAAAGACTTTGCAGCAGTGACCATACAAGAGTGTCAAAAAAATAAATTTAGAAGAAGGGAATGGAAAGGATGCTAAAAGACCAAATCTGCTAAGGAGCAGAAGATACCAGAGAAACAGTAAAAACTAAAAGGTAAAACTTCAGTTTCCTTTGAAGGCAGGTTCTGATCCATGGTCACCATAAGTCAACTGGAGTTGCAGCATGACACACGAGCACTCTGAGGAAAGTTAAATGCACGTATTTGTCTCTTTCAGTAACATATCCAATATAATATTCTCTCACTGTGGTAAAATTGTAAACAAGTAACATTTTTCTCTGCTCAATGCAGACATACCCTGTATACACGCACTATAACATCATTAATACTAAACTCCATCCCAACCAGACCCAGTACACACACACAGAATCTTGTATTTAAAAGAAAACTGCTAAAATACAGAGCTTGCTTAAAACTTCATTTATTTGTAATGTAAGCCAAAGGATCTTAACACAGAAATGCACTGCTAGGCCTCCTTGGGAGCTATAAACAAATTGGTGCACTTGTCAAAAACACACAAGCAATTAAATGATAGAGAAAAGGTACAGAATTCTTCACACGTACGCTCTCGTTGTGTACACACACACACACACACACACAAACACACACACAGAGCAGTTTCCAGTTTCCACCTGTAGGCCAAATGATAGCGGAGCTATCTAAGCCCACTTTGTAATACGCAGGCAAATAGCCTAGAAAAAACTCTCACATTTATATAAATGATGCAACCAAATGCTTCCCACTCTGGCAGTTCTTTGTTGTACAATGCGCACTGGTAGCCTGACACTTTCTTAAATGGCTTTGGGTTAAAAGGAGGTGCTCAGCAGCTCTTAACATAAAGCCCCTATTTATCTACCTTCAGCAAGTTCAAGTATAATATAGCGAATTTAAAACCTGAATATTTGACACTGATACAGCAAGGACTTGGTTACATGCTTAACTTTATGCATTGCATATAAGCCTACCGACTACACAGGCAAAATTCAGAGTATCAAACATTTGCTGGGTTAGGGCTTATGTTCAAGTAACCCGGGCACAGTTCTCTGGGCTGTACTCTGCTGTTTCTTTCTCAGTGTGAAAGGTGATTCTTTTCCTTTGTTATCAATACATTCCATGTGCCACAGTTTCTGTTCATTTAAAGAAAACTATTTTCGTTTCCCCCCTATGTTACGATGACGCTGCTCAAGGTGTTACATTAGCAAAGGTGTTTTGGTTACATTATACCATTGGAAATAACTAAAATACATGAGAGGAAGGGGAAATGAGGATATAAAGTCTATATAAGTATTTACACATCCCATTATTAAAATAAATGAAGGCTAATTAACAAGGAATTAGCCACAAGTATGAAATACAAAATGAATTAAAACTGGCTTCTAAATAAGATTAATATTAGAATCAACTACTGTTAAAACCAAAATACAACATGGTTTTAGAAGCTGTAATAAAACATAAATTAATAATTCTAACAACAAAATCAAAGTTACATAATTGTTTTAAAACACTTTGAGAGCTCAAATTATAGCTTTTTTTTTTTTTTCTCCTCCTCAGAAAAAGCACAGCAGGGAGGAACCTCCCCCATTCTTCCTGCAAGTTGATATTACATTAACAAAAGTCTTCATGTTAAAGCATATACTTCATATATTTTAATAGCTGCTGAGAACATAACACAGTTCTTTCTAAACATAATGTAGCACCTCCTGTAAACATAAAAACCACTGTTTTATTCTCTGATCATTTTATATGCAATAATGCCTTTGTTTTGTAATGAATTCCATTCCTTCATTTTAATGTGCCCATAGTTGCAGGGTTCTGCTGAATCATAGCTTACACAATCACAGCCTCCTAAACTTCAGAGGCTTAGCACCAGAGTTGCAACTGTCTGGGCAACAAGACTTTTGCTCTGCAACTTTCTGTGGCTTGTAGAGACCATAGAAATGAGGAATTCAGAGTGCCCAACATGCGTCTCATCTAGCCTCATTTGACCTACAGCCAGCTTTACCCTGATGCTTGAAAATAAAGATCAAGAAGCAAGTCAATAGTTTTTAGAAGTTCTCAGCATCGCTAGCCTAAAAGGATTACCTGTCGTATGTTAGGCTTACATTATCGTTAACTTTTTAAAACAGGCTGTTGAATTTTCCTTTCATTGCCTTCTGGCTCTGAAGTCTTCAATGTTCATTTGGGTTACGTTTTCGAACTCTTCTCTGTAGCTAGAAATGTACTGTTGTTTTTAAGTGACAACTAACAAAACTTCAGGTAAAAATAGAAAATACTAAGGCAAGTTGCAAGAGACAGTAATGTCTACACTTAAGTTTAAGTCAAATCAATCAAAATAGATGCAGAGCTGCCTCTGTCCTTTGCATGTTGATTTACACTTACGTGGCAAAGGCTGCAAGATAACAGATCTGAGTCAGAAACACGCACAAGTTGTTGATTAGAATTTGCAGCACACAGAGGCGCAAACAACAGACGTTTCTGTTTGTCATGCCTGTGAGCACAGACCAGCAGCGAAACTGCTAGGACCAAGACCGTATGCCCCTTATTCCAAGCCTCTGTCTTAACACCTCCTCTGCTCAGATGACTCCGTAGTGATGCTGTTTGCCATGTTGTGTCATTTGCCCAGCACACTTACGGATGTGTCACAGACATTTTCACACTCCAGTGTTTGGAAAAAGTTTGTCGGCACTTCATCCTGTGTACAGCCTGTTTATCTGGTAGCCTGAGATGCCAGCAAGGTCTACATTTTCCCCTCCTCTCATGAGCTGCCCCATAAGGAGAAAGGAATGTGCAAGCTAAAAGAGCTTTCTTTTAGAGTCTTTTTTCTTGTGAAACTGTGCATCAGTCCTGACTGGATAGGGTAGAAACCCCCAAAACGGCAATTCTTCAGAAATCCTACTTTTTAACCTAGGAAACATATACTTGCCCTCATCCTCACAAACCAAATATTTATCTCTAATAAATGTCTGTTACATGTACCGCATATACAACCTCTATCAGTTTTCCTTTTGTTAGAGAAAAGCTTCAGGTCTCACCCTCCTCACCCCTCTCCTACTTTGCCTATTAGATATCAAAGGGAGTAGTTTCAAGTAATAGCTAATTTTTTTTGCTGAACAGACTTGAAAAGTAAGATAATTTTCTCTGCTGTTTTCTTCAAGCACTCACCTACACACACCCCTCAGGGCTTACACTTAGAAAATGCCCTCTGGGAGTCTGCTCTTTTATCACTGCTCTTTAAGAGTGTCCTCACTTTCAGTTCCCCAGTGACTTGTCCCAAGCACCTTTCAGCTACTGCAAGTTTTAATAAGCTCTTGTCTGTGCATATCGTAAGATGATCATCATACTTTCGAAATCTAAACTAAATGAAGTCTTTTAAATAAACATCAAAGCCATCTTGTATCCTCTTTCACTTTGAGGCTATTCATTATGAACCTAGCATAAAACTCTCAACTTCCAGGAACGAAAGTGCCAGGCAGAAATACGTTTCTATGCCACAGGTTTCTGGCAAAGCAGAAAAGGGGAGTCAGAGGCAGCATTCGCAGTCTCTCAACGCAGGGATGAAAGAACAGTTGTCAGTGGCATACCATTGTTACTGTGCAGTAAATAGCAATGAAAGAGGATTAAAGAGGAAAACAGATCAATAGTACCTGGTTTTGTACTCTTCACTCACAATATTCTTGGACTGTATCTAACGTAATTAGTATTACCAAGTTAGGGAATACATTCTTAAAACTGTAAGAGACCATGACTGTACTCCACGCAAGAAAGGATTCTCTTGCTGTTCTCCATTAGCTGTGCCGGTGCCACAGCTTCCCCTGCATCCCCCTCCCATTTCTTGTACATGGTTTTCCTATTTATGCTGTAATTATTTTCCTTCTAATTCCTTCGTGAGAAGCCCTCACAAAACTACCGAAGAGCAAAAGGGAAAAATGACAATCACTAGACAGAAAGTGCTGTAAAATACAAAGTAAATAGGCACTTCTATTTCCCTAATCTTTTTAAGTAAGAGAAATCTTAGGTCTTATATCTTACATGTGAAGAATAGTAGGTAATATACCTTCAGACAGAAGTACAATTTTAAGCAAATACTTTCCCTTTACTGTAGTAAATTTTAACTCATCATATCACAAGAGCGATCTTTTTCTGTAATTCAGCATTCTCATGACAGTCAAGAATATTTGCCCTATCATTTCAAGAATTATATTCCCTATGTTACATAGCTCTAACTGTAATTTCTTTATCAAGCCTAAGATCAGTACAAGCTTTTGCACAACTTCAAAAAAAGTTACAGTGAATACAGCTGTACTTAAACAAATAACCAAACTAAACTCGTCAAATAAAAGTGAGAATCATCACCTCTCCCTACTGCAACCAAGAGTAAATGTAGGAAGAGAACAAAAGGCCTAAGAAAGGACAGTTTAGGTAGACTTCTAGGATTTCCTCTTTTTGTAATTTCAGGGGTTATTAGGAAATTGGATAAGGAAAATATTTTAGTTCTGAGTTTCAATAAAGGAGTTCATACTCTTCATTTATATGGTTCATGAGAAGGTATGCAAGAATTAAAAACTCTGCGTAAAAATATAGCTACATTTAGTATCTGTGGTTGGCACCCAAGTAGACAATGACACGATTTTCATACACCTTCTTCATAGTTTTCTCAATTTGCTTCAAAAATACTTGTGGAATTCTCCCACATAAAGTGTGCACTGTATCCAGAAACTTAGACTGCAGAGGGTAGTACAAAGACTGGAAGAGATTGTCTTCAAATGGAAACTAAAGAAAAGAAAAAAAGAATTATTAGTTTTCACTGGTTACAAAATGGCATTGTAGGATTTTCTGCAAGATAAAACCTAATATAGGTAGGCAATGACTTGTCCCTCGCCTTCCCAGAGCGCCATCAAAGCCTATCAAATTCCAACACTGGTCCGCTTGAGAGTGCTTGCTTTCAGAAAAGCTTGTCTGGGTATATTACCCGAAACAGCCAACTTCCCAGAAACTGTACTTCAAGAATCAGTGTTTAGAGGAGGTTTACTAACATAGGGATACTGTAACAAAACAGGTATTTTAGAGAGTGGAGTTGTACACATGCAACATTCAAAGTGGAAATATGGACCTGTGTCCATATGAAAGCTTCTGCCTTCCATGTGCCCAGAGGCTCTAGGTGCTCAGGGAGGACAGGCTTTCATTGGGTATATACGGACCAGAGCTGCAGTACCAGCTGGAAGAACTCCATTCAGACACTTTTTTTCCTACCTCCAGCATTACCAAAAAGCAATTTATCAGCTTTTTTGATTAGAAGTTCACTATATTATGAAGGAGGATCGTTTAAACCACCTCAAATACAAGCATGCAGCAGAACAGGAGAGGCCAAAGCAAGCTTGTTATTTTGTGTCTGATGGGTATACATACAGCATAACTACGCTCAGCCTGATCTGCTGGAAGAGCAATCTGAGTGACCCGGTTAAAGCAGTAACCTACATTGAAATAAAAGGACTGCCTCTGTTGAGATAGAAGACTTACATCACGTATCACTTCATAGAGTGCCTTGAATGTAGGCTGTTTGTCGTCATGATAGACACCTCTATTTCCATGCAGAATAGAGACACCTTCTTCTTCTGCACCTTTACAGTTGCTTCCATACATACAGTGATCAGGCCGGTAGTTCCACTGACATGGAAACACATAAAGACACTCTGCCAGTGTCAGTCAGGGGAGACAGAAGGAGGAAAAAAAAAAAAGAAAAAAAAGAAAAAAGACACGTCAAACGAGTTACAACAAATTAAACCATGTTTCTGTGAAAACACTGGGACTGATGATCAGAAAAATTTCAGTTACTTCCTTTGCAAATATCCCAAGCAGCAGCTAGACACAGACACTTCCTTTCCTCAGAGGACGACTATACAAATCTCAGCACTGTTAGACCCAAACTAACAGAGAGGGCAACACAGAGACTGGGTGCAAACATAAACCAAGGGAGCATTTTTCAAAGCTAGAAGTGACAGAATCAAACCTAGAGGGTATGCACCAGGTGGCACTATCCAGGGTCCTCTGCCCCAGTAAGAAGTTTCAGGAGTTACAGAAACGATTAGGAAAGCAGTGAGTGTTATGCAAAATCCTGACTCCTTCTGGAGACAGCATGGGAAAGCTTGTGAAGTATATCCAATGTCTGCTGCTGCAGCTTTCACTGAGGCTATGACAATTTGTTATACTGAGATACAGCAGAATGTAAGAGGTAGTGTATTTTACCCACAGTCCTTCTAATAGTTGTCATCCATTAATTTCACAGGTCTAGGTTATTTAAAGATGAGCCTAATTTCTCAAAAGAGCTTATAACCTCCTTTCTCCAACTGATTTTTCCCCTTTTTTTTTTCTTTCCAAACTTTCTCCATGCACTCACAGTACGTGCAATATGCTTGTAACAAAACATACCAGCCCCTGTGACCTTTTTGCTTCAGAAATGGAGTACAATGAGTCATTGCATGATGCTGGCAGGTCACGTCAGAAGCACTGAAGACTGAATTCTTCACTTGGCCTTTCCTAGCTTCCCAGGAAGCCTGCAGCTGGTTCTGTGTGTTTTTTGAAGAAGTAGGAGAAAAAGTTCCTGAAACATTTCTTCCCTTAAGGCCTCTCTAGCAGGAGACTTCTCCAGAAAGGGTGGATTGTAAGTGGTTTCCATCCAGCCTGACCTATCACACATTCAGAATTGCTCCCCAGTGTTGCTGAAAGGGCAGGAAGAGCAGTAACGCCTGATCCAAACCCTGTTACAGTTAACAGGGATCCTTTCGGTAACCCTGAGCAGATGTTTGCAAGTACAGCTCATCAGCAGGTCACTATGGGGAGAGGATGTCATCAGGTGCTTGTTAGCTTTTGTACATGTCACTTGAGTATTCTTGATCTTCTCCTCACTGTGATGCTTTTGTGCGTTTTTTGCTGTCACAGCTGGACTCAAACTCTAGCTGCTCTGTGAGCCTTCAGATCCATTAATCATCAGAACAGCCTTTGGGGATGGGAAAAAGGGTGCATCTCTTCAGGCCCCAGGTAACGCAGTTCTGTATATTTTTAAGCCAACGCACTGGATCTATAAAAAGCCACCTGCAGCAGTCTCAGCTGATTCCTTCCCAGGCCAGCCGCAACAATCCAGCAGTTTAAAATCTTGGGAAACTCTAGTTTTCTGTTTTAGTTGTATCCAGTTCTTTTGTTTTCTTTTCTTGTGCAGTATGATGTTATGTAATTCATAAAAAATTATTTACCAGTTACAAGGAAAAGATGAACTATGGTGCAGAAAAGAGTCTCAACATGTGGATTTGACAGAGAATACTCTCATCACAAAATTAAAATATTTTTGCAATCTTTGTTTTCTTCCTCCACGCTTAAGTTAGCAGCTTGAGTTTGACTTCACAACTAACCTGGCTTCATCATCTTCTTCGTCCAGTAGACCCTATTCCTGTAACATTAATTTCTTTTTGGAAATTAATTTATGATTTCATAATGAAGATTTCTTCCACTGTATTTGTTCCCTAGGATTGAGGGTAATGCATGGTGTACCAGGGATACTGATGTTTAACATCTGTCTGCAGTAAACAGATGTTAGCTTACTGCTTTGCTTTTGCTCTCTCCTTTTATTTGCCTGGATTTGGGTATATCCAATTACCTACCCTATGACTCCTTAGAGAAAAAGAAAAGGGAACAGAATAAATAAAGATAAATCCAAACTTATTCTGTTCTTAAGCTCACTTGAGGGAATACAAGGTCACATAGGAAACAAGGAAAAACAAATAAAAATGGATACTCAGCATCCATTCAGAAGCATGAAATAAGGTTCTTAGCTTCTTTGGGAAGCACGTGCTATGCTCCAATTTTGAAATCCTTGCATTTCTCAGATGTTACTGGCTTTGGAAGTGTCTGAAGTAATTTCTGTGTGATCAGTGCAAAATACTCACAAGGGGCTGAATTTTCAGAAACTGTCTCAGCACTTGTGGAAAAGGTCACACGCTTTTAAAATAAAGATGCCTCAACTTCCCAGTTCCTTGGAAATACACACTCTTGAGAATACGACTCCAATTCAAGAGGAAACAAAAGACAAACCAAAAACCTTACAAGTTGTTTATGGAAGCATTGTGCAAGAGGGACAGGCAGGAATCAGATATGACATTTTGATGGGCTGACAAGTACATACATATTGGTCACGCTGGTCCACACAGGTGGGTTATGCCATCTCTTCTCCGAGAACAAGGTTCTGAGAGACTTGAAGTCCCCCGTAGCTCTTCATAGTCCCAGAGCAAGCAGAATACAGAAGAGTAGAAAATGCACAAATCTAAGCAGCAGAATACAGATGACACCATCCTGGTGCCTGCTAAGGCTGGATCATTCAGCTGAAAGGCTGGAAGCATCTTGCTCAAAAAGTAATTTTTAGTGAAAGAGCGAAAGTAGGGAAGTGTCGTGGTTTAACCCCAGCCAGCAACTAAGCACCACGCAGCCGCTCACCCACTTCCCCCCACCCAGTGGGATGGGGGAGAGAATTGGAAGGAAAAAGGTAAAACTTGTGGGCTGAGATAAGAACAGTTTAATAGAACAAAAAGGAAGAAATTAATAATGATAGTAATAACAATAATAAAATGACAATACTAATAAAAGGATTAGAACATACAAAACAAGTGATGCACAATGCAATTGCCCAGTCAGCTCCCGAGCAGCTATCCCCCCCCAGGCCAACTCCCCCCAGTTTATATACTGGACATGACGTCACACGGTATGGAATACCCCTTTGGCCAGTTTGGGTCAGCTGCCCTGGCTGTGTCCCCTCCCAACTTCTTGTGCCCCTCCAGCCTTCTTGCTGGCTGGGCATGAGAAGCTGAAAACCCCTTGACTTGGTATAAACACTACTTAGCAACAACTGAAAACATCCGTGTGTTATCAACATTCTTCTCATACTGAAGCCAAAACATAGCACTGTACCAGCTACCAGGAAGAAAATTAACTCTATCCCAGCTTAAACCAGGACAGGAGGGCAACGGTTTTAGACAAGATATTCCAGTGGCTCTGCCCATTTTTTGTTCTTTATTACTCATTTGCATAAGTACCAGAATTCAGCTGAATTTCAGAAAAATAGAGCACAGCTTTGGAGAAAGTTAGGCAAGTTCACATTCAGATAAACATCTGAAACAAAAACATTTTTTCAGCTAGGCCCTGGTCCATTTGACACTCTTAAGCACACATACAACTTGAACTTCATTCCTGCATTTGATCATTAATGTTATACTTCCTTATTTTCTCAGAATCTCCAGAAAACAGATTTACATATTCACTGGAACGAAGTCCGAGCCCCACTACCTGCACCACTTTCAGAAGTATTTTCCTAGGTTGTAAATCCTAGGTGCACTTACACATTAACTTCATGCCAGAGTACATTAAGCATAATTATAAATAACAAATAGAACTTTAAAAAAAATTTTTCAAGTTCAAGAAATCTTCTTAACACAGATAATCATGACTCCAAGAATCAATACTTACCTGGGTTAAAGTAAAAAATTATATTTAGTAAATCCTGATCTCCCCATGTAATGTAATTTTTGTACTTTTGGTATAATGGATATAACATTTCCTCCCAAGTCAAACCACTTGGTATCATGCTGTTCTGCAGGGCAGAAAAACAGAAGCAATGGGTTAATACCATGAACAGTTATGTGATATATGACTCAGAGTGTGGCACACACATATTTTTAAGTCTGCTAAGCCATGTCAGATACCTAGATGAAAAATGAAGAACTGCCAGGAAACGTTAGACCTGGATAGGGTTGGAACAGCAGAGCTGACTGTGCTCTTGTTTATCTAAACAGGAAAGCGAGGTCTCCTGGGTCTAGCTCTGATGTCAGCTCCTGCTATTCACAATCTTGCTATTCTGAGCAACAGGAGGGAGAAAAAGTGGAAAAGTGGAAAAATGCAAAAATGTGGGGACAAGGTGAAAACTGAGGTATAAAAGAGAAGAAAACTGCAGACTAAAAATTATCTTCCCTTCTGTGGGAACTAGGATATTAAGAGCAGGGCCTTTTTTTCACTCAAGCTGTTCCTGTAACGATATAGGAAACCCCTGGCCTCCACTGAGAAACAAGACCACTCAGGGCAAATCAAGTTTTTAAAAAGATTAGATAATACTTGCTCAACAAAACAAACAGACATTTTACAAGTCAGGTCTTTCACAAAAAAAGGGAGACGTCAGAAAAAATGTTCCCTTCTCATTTATATCAATTCACGGAATCACTTGATCTGCAGCAGGATACAAAATTTTATTTACAGCAGATGCAAAAAATTACCAATTTCTCTGGATATTTACATCAAGCTTCCCAATTTTAAAAATAATACAGTGACTGCTCTGAAGATCCTTGAGTTTATTCTTTCACGTACCCTTCAAGGGAAATATGACACGCTGAAGAAGCCATTTTTACTACTGTTAACAGACTGCTTCATCTGCAAGTTCTCAGTGCTCCAGCCTCTTGGGGAAGTTTCACTTGTTTTAATAATAATTTTCACTATAACTGCTATTAGTATCCAAAGATATATTCTATATTTTTTGATTCTTTATATTACAAACTTTATATAATTTTATATTAAGTTTTACAAGATGTGAAAAATACATATATCATTATTTTCTGCAACAGCTGTATTTCTTCTCACCTTGAACTGAGTGTTGCGTATCCGTGTTAAATTCATTAGCATCACTCCAGAATTGACTCCAGTTGTCCCATAATAAGGGTGACGCGCAAATCGACTATACCAGCCAATCTTTGGTATTTCGTGTTCTGGGGCCATAGCAGCTAGCTGTGTTGAGTTGAACTCTTTCAGAATGTGCCAGATGTCATCGATGGGCCTCAGGAAGAGAACATCGGTGTCCACATAAAGGAGGGAATCCACATCCTTTAAAATGACCTTTTAGGTTCGCATAGCGAGGAGAGGAAAACGAAAAAGAAACCAAAGAGACAACAAAAAGGAAGATTATTGGCAAAAGGTACTTTCATTTCAAACTGATAATTTGAAAGAGGTTATTGATTTATCAGCTAAATGTAATTACACACAGGAACAACAGTTATCAGGTTATTGGCTTGCTGGTTTTGTTGTTTGTTTGTTTTTAAACTGCACAGCAAAACAGGTACCAGACCACAGAAGTTGGATTCTAACCTTCATATGAAACAGTAATCCACTATGCTCTCAAAAAAACCCCTGGAAGGCCTATTTAGTATCAGTTCAAAAATAAAATGCAAAGAATATAGATTTACATAGCTTTGTTAGTTCTTTTAAAGATCTGCAAGTGGTATTGTTGTACGAAAAACAATTAACCATTTGTAGAAAACATAATTATTGCACACTGTATAGCAAGGACTGTGAAAGGATTACTACTGAAAATTATATAAGTAACTTATGAATCTGCTGCTCTGTGTTTCTATGAAAGCTTTCACAATCAGTCACAAAAGCTAATTTGGATCCTGCTCCTGCAGTTGGATTGGCTAGCACATAGCTTGATGAAACATATAACTTACTCTGCAGACAGATGCCTTTCTAATGACTGTTTTTCCTATTACAACCTTGTGCTCCTGGAAGAACTTACAGTCAGTATTAATATATACCAATGTTTCACATTAATTAAGAAAACCGTATCGATCACAAAAATGTATATGCATCCTCCTGAAGAACAAAATTTGCTTGGTAAATAGAAATGTCATATTAAAACTTACCAGGTCAGATTCTGATATCTGTTATCAGACTCTATATCAGGAATAACTACAGTAAAGTTAGTTAAGTCAGAAGGGTGTAAAATGTAAATTAGATCCAGGACATTTAATGTATTCTTGTTGACAATGTTCCCCCTTGTGGCTATCCAAATCCTTACACACTCATTCATTAATTTTAGCAGGGCAAATTATATAGTGTTTCAACAGTCCAAGAAGACTCCCTTGACATTTGCACCAGCTATTTGTAAGGTTGTTTGTTAGGTAATAAATATCATTAGCTAAAGTTGACCATCACTTCCAACTGCATTTTTGTTGCTGCTCTTCATTATTTGCTAAAATTGTCCAAAAATTCCTGAAGGACTGAAACGTTCTTACATTGGTCTCAGCCAAAAGCCCTTTTTCTCTCTCTTTCTTTCAGAAGCAAATCCAAAAGGCTATTGATTTTCACCATGTTGTGGAACAGAACAATCACTCTCTCACCCAATTGCAATTATACCAATGACAAACTCTCCTATTTATGCAGGTAACTTAATAAATTCTACTAAAGAAATTGAATTTTACATAAATTGAAATGTATTGTGACTGAAGATTACCTGTTAAAGACAGTGAACAACATTAAGATTTTGAACAAGGGGGGGGAAATTACCTTTAAGCATGCTCAACAGGCATCCACTAAGATGCCAAATCCCTGAGTACGGACTTAAATGAGATGTTTCACCTGACCGAACACTTGGGATTCAGACTGACACTTAGCCAAGTTTAACAAATCCCTGTATTTCTGACGTGATAACTACATGTTCTTCCTACACAGAAGGACAAGCAGGAGAAGGCAAGTGTCTCTACATTTTAAACAAAAGTTACGCTTATAAGAAACTCCATGTAGACACGTTCAACACAATCCAGATTACTCTGCTAGACGGAAGGTTATAGCAATACACCGCTCTTCCACAAAAAACACAAAACAGCATGTGAAGGTATCAATAAATGAGTGACACAAATAGTTCAATAACACAGTAAGAGCTCAGAGGCAAATATTGGCAGATGTCAAGTATCCTGGAGTCCAATACTAAAAAAACCCACAAACCACCAAGTAAAAGAAGACAGCTACTTTCAAAGTAAATCAATAGAAGACAGACAGTTGAAAAGAAGAAAGGGTTTTTCAGCTTAAGGATATCCTGGATATTGTATATTATTCTGTAGCACCTAGAAGCCCTAATTGCTAGGGACCTACAATATGAAGTCATATAAAATCAAAACATATTTAAAAAAAAACTCACCTCAAAATTTAGTCTGAGACAGGAGATAACACATGAATACAAAGAGAGCAGAAGCTATTAGACTTTGCCTGAGGGATCCACAGCACACTATACCACATAAGATTTTTTCTAAGGGTACCCTGGTAGACAGACAAGTTAAGGCATTTTCCAGCGGAGGGTTACGGGGGAAGTTTAATGGGTGCATATAGACACTCCTCCCAAGCATAACTGACAGCCTGGGCACTGCTTCTTCCAGCAAAAAAACGTTCTTTCAGCAACTATAAACATACACATAAATTTAAGTCTGTGGAAGTCAATGGACTGTAATAACTTTCCTATATATAAATGGATTCAAGCAGGTATTTCAGTTCTTTGTGAAGTGAGTGCCTACCAGCATTTGACCCCATGCTTTCTGCCTTTTATTCCCCCATTCAGGATTCACATGCTCTCCTTTCTGGTTTATCAAAAGATTCTTCCCTCTCCTGTGTCCAAGGTGTTGCCCTGCAGTGACACCCAACAGGCTAAAGGAAAAACTGTGCTACTTCCTTTAAGCCCTTCACACATTTCTCTTTCACGTGTGAAGTGTTAAGATTTATTTAAAACCTACCCATGTCAGTTTGAATTGATCACATCCCCTTCTGGCTGTGCATTTAACTTTGCCTTGGGTAGGGGAATTCAATTTCAGAAATTGCGGCTGTAAGAGTTCCTTGCATAGCTCCCAGGAGTTCAGTGGAGTTTCACTGGGCATAACTCTGGCATTTCCAAAGTCCCATAGCTTTCAGGCAGCTCTGTTCCCAAACTAAACAGAATTTTCAAAAAAATATTTTAGGCTTTACACAGCCCTTAAAAGCATATTTAGCTTTTACTTATTCAAAAGCATACAAGAGGAGATGATGTATTTTTGCCTGTGCTGATTTTCAACGTCAAAAGCAGTTGAGTACCACGAGGCAAGCCTATGGTACAAGAGACCTTGCTCCAGCTTGCTCTGCCTGAACCAGACGCTGCACAGCTCGGGCTGGCAGCACGCCGAGCCTGCCAGGAGGGCTAACCAGAGGGACACAACTGCAGGTTAAAAATGACATGCATCTGACCTGGAGCATAAGCAACGCACGACTGTGTCTGGTAGTCTGAGTTCATGCTTGCTAGCAGAATCCGTGTAGACATACCTGACAGGCTGTGATTTTTGAAACGAATGGTCAGGAATATGGCTTGATTGTGCTTGTCTTCCTCCTCACTCTACAGGCGCTTACAGCTTAAAAGAAGTGTGATTTTTTTTTTTTTTGCAGCTCTATAGAGTATTCTTAGTAAATCTGTCAGAAAGTTCTGCACAGAACTGGCTATATTTAGCCTGACACTTCACTTAAATACTCAATTATCTGTAATTTGATTTCACAACTTCTGTCTCCGTAGATTCTCCCTGTGTTAGCAAGGTTGGCAAGTAATAACACACTACTGTGTAAACACATATTGGTGTATTGTGAAGCTGTGTTACCTAACGGTTTGCAACAGCTAGCATGGCCGTTTACCAGAGCTTCATCCAAAATTAGGGACAAATCACAAATTTTGATGCTAATGTAGCAGTACCATGAAGTTGAGTTACTAAATTTAATTGTCCTGGCATCTATTCCCAGGGCTGTCACCAATCCACTAGGTTGGATACTTCAGCGTACTCAAGAGGACAGCTATAATACAGGGATATTGCTAATCTACCTTAAAAGCTCTTAAGTAGATTAAATGTTTTGAGAAGGGCTCTAAATGTTAGTTACTATTAGAACTAAAATCATCCAAGAATCCCTTAAGCATTAGCTGATCGTTTTGGTAGCTCCAAAACAGCAATACAAAGACAGCTGCAAGCCAGCTCTGCGGCATGCAACATTCGTGAGACCAGAAGACAGTTTTTCACCTGGTGTCTTAACATCCGTGTCAGTATTACAAAACAGTTTCAAGTGATTGCCAAGACCATTACCCTCCTTGTTTATTCTTAAAGTTTCATTTTGTGCTCGTGTTAAGATCCACATCTTCCTTACTCCGTCTTTGCAAATCCCATTGATTGTTTTATTGTAAGTAGACTGCAGCAAGAGATCGAGACTTGTGAGATTACATGGAGGCTCAATCTACCCTCCCTGCCTATAAGTGGCAAACGTGATCAGATGTCACAGAATGCCTCTACAAAATGCAGGATGCTGTATGATCTTCCTTAATGTTTTAGCAACCCAAGTAGATTCAAGAAGTTGGGAATGCATCCACCGACCTGTTACCCAGGACAAAACAGTTCATTACTACAAGCTGCAGGATCACATCCCTGAGCTCTAGTTTCATCAGTGAGTAAAACCACTGAAAGATTCTTAAGTGATTTTCCCTTAACACACTCCTCATACCCTCCCGTCCACTTTCACATGCCTGCTGGTGCTGCAGAAGAGAGATTTCTTTGGCAGGAGAGGCACTTGTGAATCAAAGACTCACATTCCACTCAGGCTTAGCATTATCAGGAGCAAGACAATTTGCACAACTGAAAGCTAAACAGCTGATAAACTCAACTACTGCTCTCCTGGGGTCCTCCCTAAATCCTGTCACATTTTATGCTGTTGCAGGGGAAAATGCTTAGTACAGGGAAGGATAACAACAACAACAAAAAAAGATACTGATATCCTGCTGGTATTTATTTAAAATAAAAGTCAAAATAGTTTTCTAAACAGTAACACTAGAAACCTTCCGCTCCCGCTGTGTGCAGACCAGATTCCTACAGCATTGTCTTGTTCAAATGGGATTATCAGAACATGGTTATCAAGCACTGAAAAAAAATAATGGTGGCTGAAATTACCCAGAAACAGCCCAAGGTTCTGTCAGCCTGCAAACTTGAGTGCCAAAGTCCAACTGGACACTCGCCACCTCAGCTATTACTACAACTTGTTTTCTTTACGATATCCACACCAACTTAGTGTCAGCTGCAACTACTCTTGGACAACCCCTCCTATTCAAAGCCATAAACCTCAGCCTGACCACCCACAACATTTTGCAACTACCCCAAGAGAAACAAATATTTACAGTTCAAGCTGCCTCCTAGTTTTGCGAAGACAACATGCAACAGTTTAATATTCCTTACAAGAAATTACTGGATAACTTAGGCAACATGTGAGTGACAAAACAAGAACCAAAAAAGCACTACCCAGCCTAAAGCAATCAGCATGAATACGAAACCCTTTTCTGTCATCAGAAGGGTGATGACAAATAAAAGTGAAAATGTTTCTGGGATGAGAGTCTACCAAAATGACAAAAAATACCCCAGAAATAAGAACGGAGAATTGTGTTTACCCAGTGAAAACAACCCCATTTGAGTACATCCTTACAAACAATGTGTATTGAAAAAGCTAATGCTTAGGGATTATTTTCCAGGTGATATAAATATTTACTCAGGGAAGAGAGTAACCCTGCTGAAGTTGGAGTTACTTTCAGCCCATCTGGCCTTTGTGCATTTGATAGTCTACCCCTACATGGCAGATAAACAGAACTGCTGACAGCACATATTTTCTCACATATGTATTCACAGTGTACGTATCTGGACGTGCAGCTGTCTCCTGATTGTTTCCATCTGAGAAAGTAAAGATTTCTTTGTCCCCTCCAATTCTCCTAAGACAGCAATGAAGAAATGTGGATCATGCGAATAGCATGCCACTTTATTGGAGTCACCCCAATCAACAGCAAAGAACAACATATTTTTGATAGATGTTCTCAATTCCACAGAAATCGCTTTATGCAGAAGTTCTTTCAATTTCTGATATTTCTACATGTGCAAAATCGTTATCAACACCTTCCTTCTCTCCAGCAACCTTAAAAATTTTCCAAGTTTATGACACAGAATATTATACAGTAAAGAACACAAATTTGCAGTGAACCTGAAGATCCCAGGATACACAGGGCTCTTGCATGAAATCTGACTTTGAACACATTGGAATTATTACCTTAAGGGCAAATCTGACAGTCTTGGAAAAAGAAATAAAACTCAAGGAAAAGGGATTGCTGAAAGCATCAGTCTAAGGGCTAACATATGGAAAGGGAGATAGTGGGTAAAGAGGATATGATGACTGCACGCTGAAAAGAATGTTATTTATGGAAGGCATGCAGCATCTACCCTGAAAGCATCTGCCCTGAAAGAGCTCTCGCACTGAGTCTTAAGAGTCTGAGAGGCTAATGGAACTGGAGACAAATAAAAAACACACATCCTTTGTTAGCAGAAGAAAAAGCAAGGCTGAATTTCTGGTTTTTGGTTGTTTTTTTTTAAAGTGGCTAAAGCACAGATTAAAATATCTTTAAGCAGATGTTTCAGCCCGAAAATGGTTTTAACATTACACCAGCAAAGCTTCCTTTCTGTGGAATTAACCTTTTCCTAAAGCGACCTACTCAGAAATCCAGGTGCCTTACCGGAAGAAAAAGGCGCTGGGCAGCACATGGTTTGAATAACTTTTTCCATTCCTGAGCATTTCCTACTGAGAAGGTTATTGGGTAAATGTTGTATTCAAACTTCTTTGTGTATGAGGAGGGCCATTCCTTTAACTGAAAGACATCGGGGGAGGAATTAGACACTACAGGTTATATAGCTTTTCTTTAAAAAAATATGCATGCATAAGGAATTTATAAACCACGTACAGTAAACAAAGTGCTTAGTTGCTACTTGTTGATCTCAATGTAATTTTTCTCAGAGATTTGTGACTTATAACTAACTCATGTACTTATTTACCAAATGACAAAGAAACTCACCTTCTTCTCAAATTCAGGCTTAAGGGAATCCTCAGCAAAAATGTGAAAACAGAGCCTCCTGTTGCTAAAGAGAACTGCTGATTTCAGCATGATTAGCGTCTCTTCCAGCCGGTCCCCACATGCCACAACTGCCAGATGCATGCATTGCAAAGATGAAGGCTCTTTTGAATGTTTCTGTTCTCCAGGCTTCCTGAAAATTCACAAATAGGCATATCAAAAATACTGAGGTAAACACAGAGAGAATCACGCATTAACAGATATCAGGGGTTTTCTCCTTCATTTTGTAAGGGATCTGGAGTTTTTTTTCCAATTAGATACCCACAAAACATGCAAGCAGCATGTCAATTTTTGTCAATGGTACAAATCAAGAGTATTAAAACTACAACATAAAGAAATACGCTATTTTCAGAAATTTTCTGGTTATTCCTACATTTCTGGATTTGCATAAGTCACTGCACTATATACACAGATGAAACAAATTCAATAGCACCTCAAACCAGACAACAACTTGCTCTGTGCAAACGATAGCTTTTTTTTTTTTTTCCCCAGCTTAGAGGTTATGAAGCCAGAACGGACTTACTACTACCTAGCCAACTTTCTAACACAATGCCGATCACAGAACTACATCCAGTAACTTCATTACCAGGCCCATAATGGCTAGACTGGAAGAAGACATCCATGCTTAGAAAAAAATCCACTTCATCCATATGTAAATTATTCTAACAGTTAATTAATTTTGCTATTAAAAATGCATGCCTTAATCCTGGCCTGAAGGTACTGGCAGAGTTTCAAAGGACTGCTCTCCATTTCACCCGATGGAATCCCTGAGATTTTGCTCAAATAGAGATTTTTAAAAACAAACATATTCACATGTCCCAGATGAATCAGACTATATTCCACAAGCAGTCAAGGGCCAAACTATCCTTTTTCACTTAGCACCCATCTGTGTGGGCTTTAAATAAATTTCAGCTAGACTATAGGTGGAATCTGCATGTAAAAAGGCACATTGAAGCTACTTGCTAGCCAGAAAAATCAGGGTTCTTTTGGGGAGCTGAAGACATTTTGAAAATATGGCCTTTTGATTTCGTGTGTTCCGTCCCCCCATCAGTATGGAGGTAAACTCACATCCTCCAGGAATGCTTCTACCATATTGTATTCACATTCCAACACAGATCGCATTTATACTCTCTTACATGGATGAATGCTGACAAAGCAACTAAATCACAAGCATCATAATCATTATAGGAGAGTTCAAAAGGCTAATCATAGATCACTATCAGTTCTTGACATATCACTGAACAGAGGACATAAATCCCTGCCTCTTCTCAGCACACACTTTACATACATATGATTAATCAGTAAAGTTAATACTAGAAACAAAAGTTCTAAATAAAGACAAAAATAACAGTTAATAAAGCTGTCCTTATCTTTTTCCAGACATCAAAATGCTGCTCTGTGTAACAGCAGCGTTCTATACCAGAGTAACCCACCTCGGTGTGAAGGAATACCAGCCAACGGTACTTCACCGACTATACAAGCAACATGTTTCAATGAGGGTTTAAAGTCTTAGGCTTTAGTCTTAATTAAAACCCAATTTCATCAGTGTATAAATAATGGAATACTACATCTACATGAAGTGGTATTTACTTTCCAACCTATTAGTGTAAAAACCACTGAATTATTGAAGTGAATAATTAGCTGCTCACACAGATCCCCTTTTCCTCCCTTCTCCCTATCTGTTTAATGTTTCCTCTTAATTGAGTCTCTAAATCAAGCCATATGCAGGATGAGAACTGCTTTGATATAGCTTGTGGCAATGGAATTCACTGGGAGAGGGACTAAACTCTAAGCTTTTATTGCAACATTTCAAAACCTGACACCAAAGCACTAAGCTTTTCTTTGCGCATTTTAGCCACAGTGAACTCTCCATTATGCAGCTATTTTGTAGTGAAAAATCCAGTATATGTAGACAAGCGCTTCCAACAAACAGACTCAGCAGAAGCAACCCTCGATGAAAGCAGAATGCCCTGTAAGCCCATGGGAGCTATGGATGAACAAGAGACATCCCGCCTGCCAACACAGACATGCTCCCAGCCCCAGAGAGTGGAGGAAACAAGGAATTACGAGTCGCAAAGGTCTGGGCTGAAGGGGTTCAGGAGCCCGCAATGGCCTAAGTAGGAATAAAAATCCCTGAGAAAAGGATCACGAGGTAGTATCTGAACTACCCCAGTAGCAGTCCGGGACACTGAGTTAGTGTGGAAAAGCAGCAATGAGGTACAGAAGAACGTTGGGACACAATATTTTGCATCTTATTTTATAAGTACGTAAGAAAACCAAAAGGACTGTGAAAATAAAGGTGAGCTGGAAAGGGAGATAAAAGAGTGCCATAGCAGGATGCATTTTACAGCAATTTTAGCTCAGCCTTTACAGAATTATTGTTATTATCCAGAAGTCTGAAAAGAGGCAGGTGTAAAGGCAAAGTCAAACTGCTGGGAAGGCAAATGAGCAGATTACAGCACAGAACATCACAACTCCCCTTCCCTCCTCTGTTTCTACGTGCATGTACATACAGTGCAGGGAGGAACAGAAGGGACGGGGAGAAATAACATCTGGATGAAAGGATATTCCTTAAAGATCTGCAGGACATGGCCAATGTCTTCAAAACAAAACAGTTCCAGTTTGACCAACAGCATCTAGGATGCTTCTGCCTCACACAGAATAAATCGCTATGCTGGCTTATCTAGATCCCCTCTCAAAGATAAGAGGGCCTCCACCATGTGCTGTCAAGAGAGAAACTGGAGTTCAGAACTCAGCTCATACCAGTGGAGAGCTACTTCTTTTCTACCAGGGATAGGTTGGGCTGGGCACTAGGAGCCTTCTCCTTCAAACAGACTTAGTGCTTAACAAAAGGCCTTCTTTAAGCTGAGGTTTCATATAAGGGATACACTGAATCCTGATTCGATACACTGTATCTCCTCTAATTGCAAATGTTTGTTTGTCTTGTAGTTAGCAGTGGTTGACCCAAACGTACTGGGAAGCTAAGAGTTTTCCAAAACACTACCTGCTCAGATGTTACTAGACAATACAACAAATGGAATAGATGAAAGGTGCATACTTTATTTTAAAGGATGGAGTACGTTAATACTGTGGTGAATTGTACAAAGGATAAAATTTGCTACATAGAATAAAAAACATCTGACGAGCAAGGAAGAATATACTGCTAGGTTATCAGCCTAAGACATTAATAGGCTTTTGACACAGAGACGCCCTCAGGTAGTGGTTGAAGGGTAAGTGAGCTCTGGTTTTGGCTCTGTTTCAGTAAGTCAGCCCCTGCAAAGCTTTGGGCGAGTCATTAATTCTTTATGCTTTAGCTGTCCTACCTGTAAAATGGGAACAGCTGTTACAGTAGTAATAGTTACCTATCTCAAGAGACTTCCAAGCACATTAAAAAGCACATAGATCCACGGAGTACTACAATTATTATTATCAGCCAATTCTTCCTAACATTTATGCACATACTCATTCATTTATAGCCCAACTTACTGGTTATGGATATATGGAGTCTATAATTGGATTTTATGACCTAAATTAAATGTTTAAATGCATCTAAAACAATATAGTGACCTGGGCCCTAAAGTTTAATGTGTTTGACAAGAACAAATAATGAAATTATATACACAAGGTCTTTGTTGCCTTGATATCATTCTTCTAATTTCAGTACTTAAATGTAGCTTGTTGATATATTATAAATCTAACTTATATAACATGTCAAACTCTTTGCCCTGTTCCCTGTTTTACCCATCTGTTCAGAGAAAATTGCTTCCTGCTTTCCCTTACCTGCTGTTCTCCTACTATATTATTGTATGGCTTTAAAATTAAGCACTGTTGCCTAAGATTAAGCACTACAGAAAGCATCACAAAATACTTGCAGAATACATCCCTATGAAACAGCTGAAGACTGACTTGATAAGACACAGCATGACAAAATGTTTACAGCAAAGGCCTTCCAACAATACAGACCAACTTCCACCCAGTTGCCCAATGGTATTTTATTTACTGCATACATTTTTTTCTGACAGGCATGGGTATTGACATAGCAGGAGAAGCCCAAGTGCTCAAGCACAACAGTGTACATTTCTAGGTCTTAAAGTTTAGATTACATGCAATTTTCTTATTAGTCACAGCCAAAGTGTCTCAAACATAATTAACCCCAAACCTGTCTAAATCAATCCAGATCCATTCAAAATAATGCATTCCCATCTCATTACAGAGCCTGCTAATCTATTCAAGCCTTCAAATTTATTCTTGAGAGAAAGATAATGCATGCAGATTCTTACAAAATGCAATATAGTTGTTAGTTTTTTGAAACCTTCTTCATATTATGATCTCATTTACTTTTGCAGCATAAACAAGGTTAGATTTAGGCAATGCATCAACACTGGTGATTCACTAAATAGGCTCCTTTCCTGACAGTCAACACTGAGTCAATGTCCCAACAGTGGCTCCATTATATGAAACACATTCTCTCACACACTTTAAAATATAAACTAGAAAGGCTCTAAATGTTTTTTAAATAAAGTTTTCTCACTTAAATGCAGTTGCACAAAACTGACTGTAGCTGCTGACAATCAAAAAATTGTTGAAGTTTCAACGTCCTCCCACTGCTCAGAGAATGGGGAGAAATACACTCAAAACCAGAATGGATGTTTGTATCTTCTTCTTTTATCAAGTGGGCTCTTTGTTAGACAAGTACGAGGTATTTGGGCCTTCAGCATGTTGTTATAGGCTATCAAACTCAAGCCAAACTTGCATGTGTGTCCACACAGGCTGCAAAGAAAGAAAAAAGTATCTTGACAGGTTGCCACATAAGACATGTTTTGCTCTGGAAAAGTTACTTCCAGAGAACTAAATGTGCTGGCAAAGGTTCACTTGTCGAGCCTTGCCACGCTGGTTTAATAGAAAGTGTGGTCACATCTGCCCTTCAAATGTAAAACAACCCTTTTGCTTTTTGATACTTTGCACACATTGGTTTGGCACATACTTATAATTCTTCATATGAAAAAAATCTTACTGAAGGCATAGGACTTGCTACTTCCAAGAAGAAGGATCAGTAAAACCACCATCAAAAATCAGTTTTCAAAGCTAACTGGAAGCTTCAATGCAACGCTCATTGAGATTTGCCAAAATTATCTAATGACCCAAGCAGGACACAGGAACGTATTTACTAACATTTGCTAGGTACCAGCCAGCTAATGATATGCGACTAAGTTAAGCTTTTATCATGTATGCCTACTTAACATTAGAAGAAACCTGCACTTCTTAAAACTTAAAAACTACTGTCTTCTATTAGTAATGCGTCAATACAGAAAGTGGTATTACAAAATCCCAGTTAAAATACAATTCACCTTGCCTGCAACATGACTGATTCTTATAGTGCAAACGCACATCCTAGATAATGCCTTTTGATTATTTCTGAGTTCAGCCCCAAACCTGCACCCTTCTGACAAAACTACACAGATCAACTTGGCAAAACTGAATTAAAACAACTTTTTACATCCACATAGACAAAACTTCACTAAGGTTATTTGAATCAATCATGCAGCCTACATATAAACACATACACCATGATCAGATCACAAGATCTTACACAGTTATAATCAGATTTTTTTATTATCCTGAAGGCATCAGTTAAACAACATATGATCTCTTGCATCAAATAATAATAATAAAAAAATCTTCCTTTGCTTATAAGGAGTAACCAAAATAATAATCTTTTATATTATAGAAACTAACAGGCAGTAACAACCCCAATTCAGCATGTTACAGTGGATGCACTTTACTGTAAGCACATGCATAAATGAGCAAATCTTATTAAATTAATGGGAATACTCACTCCTGAAGTTAATAACTAGTTAGTTAAATCATTGTTTCTTCCACTCCAAATTCAAGCCCCCTGGAAACAGCCTCACACTGCTTTCAGTGTGTCTTGGATCAGGCTTTTTAAGCCGAGCAGATCCCACCACCTGATGCCTTCACCACTTGAGTGTGGATGTGATTCGTTTTGGAATGGCATCCATTGGCAGGTATTTCTGCCTCTCCAAGAAGGCTGGCATCTCCTCAACTTGGAGCATGTAATGTCCCCCCCCTCCCGCCCCCCCCCCAATTTTTTTTTATGGATACCCTCACTAAAATAAATTTTATTTTAGTAGTAATAACACAATACAGAATCTTTCAGCAAGGGACAGAACTGGACCCACAGAATTGCGCTTCTCAGTTATACAAACTCCTGCAGGTGCCAATGGTGCAGGACAATGTCCTGCCAGCAGATGGGGCAGGGCGGGCGGGGAGAAAACAATAACCAACCCCCCCCCCCAATTTTTTTTTTGAAGAAAAGGCATGGTTTAAATACAGCATGGTTTAAATACAGCATGGTTTAAATACAGCACTCCTCTTTTTTGTTGTTGTGTTGCAGACCTTGTAAAAAGTAGTTGCAAAGTCAATAAATAATAGAAAAGTTAGATAATGTCAAATTTTGGAACATGAAGATGGTCACTGAAAAGCTCATTGAAATGAAACAGTTGTTTACACTCTCTAGCAGTTTCATACTTTCTGGGCTCCTTCCTTCAGTGTTGTTCTTGATTTCCATGATAATCACAGAGATATGCCTTAAAGAAAAATGACTTCAGGAGGTACAGTTGCTAGTGGAAATAATCCTGCTTTAATACATGCATTTGAATTCTGCCCATGATCCATTCTCAGCCACAGTAAACATCTCTTGCATTCAGTAGGGTAACAATGCTTGTAAGAAACCAACTGCTTTAATAAGTTAAGGAATAAGAGCTCAAAAAACAGGAGTAGTCTTTCATTCAGAACATCCCTGTGAAATCACGAATCAAAGACACAAAGACATACCAAGTTAATTAGATATATGAGGTCACACTGACCATAATATAGTTGGAATGCAAAGGGAAAAACAGTCCTCCACCCAACAAAAGCATGCTGCCCGTATCTTTTTCTGAAGTAATTACATTTTTTTAAAAAATACTCTGCCTGCAAGGTGCTGAAAGAGGGAACACTACACACCACGATTTCAACCTCTCGTTCTTTAAAGTTCTGCTACATGGATTTACATAGAAAAGGCATTCAAAACAAACAAACAAAAAGCTCAAGGGCTTAAAATCCACCGGTGCCTGCTTCGCAGTTTGGAGGTACCATGCAGAAACAGCCAGCCACCTTCCCTCTGCCCTGCAGCACTAATGGAAAAACTTCGCAGCAGCGCAGCTCCGGAGACTGACAGCAGCTCCTCACGGGCGCCAGCCAGCGAGTACCACATTCCCCACGTCAGCCTTCAAAACAAGGCCAAAACGCATGGAAAAGCAGCAATTTCGGAGGCCGCCCTCGCCCAGGCACGCAGAGGAGGGGCCGCCCCGCTCGGACCGCAGGCGGAGGTAAAACTTCCACGCGTTTTCGTGGCATCTCTGGCAACCGCGCTCCGAGCGCAAACACGCAGGGGAAAAAAGTTCACGCTTCCCACGGCAGAGCGGTTTGCACGACGGTTTCTAATCACCGCCCGCTGGGCAGAGGCGAAGGGGGAAAAAAAATAAAAGATCTGGGCGAGGGGAAGCGCCCGAAGGACCGGGCGGCAACGGGACACGGGCGAGCGGCCACCGCGGGGCGGGAGGGGCCCGGACACGCGTGGGGCTGGGCGCGGGTGGGCTCCAGGGGGGCGGGCCGGAGGGGCC